TTAGATTTCTCTCCCGGTGACCTTGGACGTGATTGGTTGTTTTTGTGTGTTTTCACACCTTCTAGGTTACTTGTATCGTAATTCATTGTTTCTTTGACTTGAACTTTGACCCTTTGTGTGTGTGAGGTCTCTTTCTTATTGGTTGAAACAAAAATGCTAGAGAACTTTTAGAAGGCTTCCTGGTATTCCAGTGAATCATCAATCAATCGACACATCGAGATTGACAAAATTTATCAACCGGTAAGAAAGAAACCTCACACACAAAGGGTCAAAGCTCAATTCAAAGAAACAGTCAGTTCCAATACAAGTAGCCTAGAAGGTGTGAAAACGCACAAAAGCAACCAATCACGTCCAAGGTGGTCACCAGGAGAGATGATTAATAAACTCATGAAGAAATCTTAAAGCTCACTTCAACACATTGAAGTATGCGCTGAAGATGTCACCTAGTAGGGTGATGAAAGCTTCACAAATTAACTATCCAGCTCAGATAACAGAACCACATCAAAATCATCCACCTGAGCTACAAATCTTCTCCATCATATGATAGCAAATTTATTTAACAACAACTTTGCCTAGGAAATAATTACTTCACTTTCGACTATTGTATTGTCGTTCATGGTTTATCATACTAAATGTTGCAAGCTTGGAGGTCAAGATACGCGTACTATCAGTGGCATCCCTTCATCAACATCCTCACATCTGTCGAATCATTAGTTCAGTCATCTATTAGCCCTATGGAGTCTTCTAATTCAGGCTGACGCGTACTGGTTCGTCTCATGTAGTCACATAGATTTTCATGCTACTTGTTACACCAATCTGCTAATTCAAAGCTTTGTGTGATGAGAGCGTCTCCAACAGCAGCAATTTAGAGGAAGTCATCAAATAGTTATAAAAAGTGTTTCCAATCAATTAAGGATTGCCTCCTAGTCGTATACAAGTAATTCAACTAGCTTATGTCTTCTCTGCTGGCCTGCTTAAAACATGGTCCACCGAAAACCTCCATCAATATATTATTGCATATAATTTCTCTTATTTAGTTTGTTTAAATCTAGTAAAATATGACCTCTATTGTTTACTCAGGTGAGTATTTAAAACATTTACAACCTGCTGATTGCCATGTTTCCACTAAACATGAGGAAAAGCATTATCCTCAATGGCAGCTTATCCCACCAAGTGAGATGATTGTTCCTCAGTGATATCCCTGCTTCACAAAATATGCTCCTGAACTTTCTATAATTGGCATTCAACAAAATGTCGTCATGTAATTTTTTCGCGTCGGTGGCACAGCAGTTAGGACGCTTGCCGACCATGCACAAGGTCAGGGGTTCCATCCCCGGCCGCAGACGCACTCCTTTACCTCGCTAAGCCAGTAATAGAACTGGCGAAGAGGAAAGATTGGGCATGAGGCTAGCAACCCAATCCTGTAAAAATAATCCCCACTGCTACAGAAACTTCAAGCCTGTACGTTGAAGCCCTATGTTCCACTGAGAACGTGAAGGAATAAAAAAATTTCTTGAAGGAGGCAAAGAAGAAATATCAAAATGGATTGGTTTACCCTTCAGTCGGATAGAACTGTAGAAAACAGAAAGATTGAGCGAAGAAATATTTACTCTTCAATTAGATCCTCATCTCACTCTGGCTCCACTCTAATATATATTATGTATAGCATTTTTGTTACACTACACAACAATTTACCAATCAAGTGTCACTGATATGTTTGTTAACAATAATTAGCCAGTGTCAAAATGTCAAACAGTGAGCTGATAATTAACGAAGAAAATCAATACACACAATAAAAGGGTAGAAATGGTTAGAATAAATTAATTTTACAAGGATAACACGTAATTAAAGATGAAGTGGTCAAAATAAAATAATTTGGACATTTATAATTTTTATAATTTTTAAATGTTTAGGGGGAGGGGGCGTAGTAGTCCAGTTTATACATTCATGTAACGATGGCCAAGGTAAGGAACGTGGCTGTACAAATTTCTCCTGAGCACACAGGTTTGACTTTTTCAGGTGGATTCCTATTACTTCAGTTGTCTGTAGAAGACGAACTCGTAGAGCAAAGTTAAGATTAGTAGGAATGCGATAGATAATTCTAAATGCTGTATTAACATCAACCTTATGCTTACTATCTACAAGGTGGGCTAAAACAAAGCCAGCTACAAATAGATCTTGTTTGTCCTCCCTTGCTTAATCATGCTGGATGATATTTGGAAATACGATGATGAACCAGCTTAAGTGTACGCTCAATGTAGCTGGCTACGCAGCTGCAGTCAAACTGGTAGATTCACATAGAAGAGGTAAATGTAGGTAGTTTATCCTTCATTATAATGAAGGCTTTTGTATTTCCCAATGAATGAAAAACAAAAAGATATTGTTGTTTTTACTGACGTTTCGCTATTTAATGCTAATAGCTTTATCAAAGTATTATTAAACCGGAATTTACAAAATCCATTCAGCTTATATATAACAAAGAGTTAAGGGGTGAGAAAATAGACTTAGGTCAAGTTAAAGGGACATATTGAAAGTAAAAATAGCAATGAAGATCACTAAACCAAATAACAAAGGTAATAGTAAATCTGTTATGATATCAAAATAAAGTTTACTAACTTGATCATCGTTCGTCAGTCTGGGGGCACTTTTAAATGTCAAGTTGGTCAATTGGTAAAGATAACAAAACCAAGTGTAGATTTTTGGATTTGATCGGTGTGTAAACTTATAAAAGTAGTGTGTGTTTACATAGTGAACTTGCTTATCACATTCGTGTTGATTTTGTCACTTCATGGGGGTGAGGAGGTAGGTGTTGTAACCAGGTCAGATTCTATTTTAGTCCATCATTCCTATTCAGACAATTTGAATTCCACTTGATATGAAGTGCTTCTGTTATTAGACGTTCTTTGTGATTTCTGAAGTTTTTCTGGATTATTTCAATATTGTCAAAATCAATTTTGTGGCCCGATTCCAAAGCGTGTAGACCTATGGCTGATGATTTTTCAAGTTTTTCTAGTCCAACCGGATTTCCCGGTGGTTGAACAGATGCTCTACGGTGTTCATTTCTTCTGATTTTGATTTCTCGAGATGTTTGTCCGATGCATATCGAATCACATTCCAAGCAAGCATTTTATTTTATAGACACAATTAGATAGAGAATCTTTAGGGATTTGGTGTTTTATATGGGCAAGGTTGTTTCGTAGTGCGTCTGATGTTTTGAAGAAAACTCTAATATCGAGCTGATTGAGTACTCTTCTGATATCGTCTGATGTCTCTGCTCTATATGGAATGACGACTGTTGATGTCCATGTTTTCGGAATGCGTTTTCGGCCATACTTAATATCTGTGTTGAGATATCAAAAGAAATAAACACCGTAGTGCATCTCTTCGACCACCAAGAAATCCCGTTGAACTACAAAAGCTTGAAAAACATCAGCCATAGGTCTACATTCCATAGAATCAGGTCACAAAATTGATTTTGACAGTATTGGTAAACTTTATTTTGATATCATAACAGATTTACTATTACCTTTGTTATTTGGTTTAGTGATCTTCATTGCTATTTTTACTTTCAATATGTCCCTTTAACTTGACCTAAGTCTATTTTCTCACCCCTTAACTCTTTGTTATATATAAGCTGAATGGATTTTGTAAATTCCGGTTTAATAATACTTTGATAAAGCTATTAGCATTAAATAGCGAAACGTCAGTAAAAACAACAATATCTTTTTGTTTTTCATTCATTGGGAAATACAAAACAGGCCTTTATTATAATGAATATCATACACCTAGTGCCCAAATTTTTTCAAACTGTTAAAAGTGAACTTGGTTTGGACATATATAGTTTACTCGTATTTCTCGAACGTAGAACAGGGCTGGTTGTGAAGAGACAACGTACCTCTGCTGCATATTAAGCTCTTTTAACTGCACTCTTCAGGTGCTGTGTTATTAAATATCATCTTTTATTTGAAGATCCTGGACGGACAGAAAATATCATGCAATGAACTCAGCTGTGAATTCTGTACAATATATAAACAGTATTCCGAATAAATCTATTCTAATCATTATTATTCATGTTAGAAAACGTGCATTCATAATTTATATGATTATGTAAATATTCCGTTTATTCACTTTTTCTATTAGAACAAGACATATAAACGAACAATATGGCTGTTTTCAATTAGATCTTCTTCAGGCTTTACACTAATTTACATAGATTTATATATAAATTTTTAACCAATGACGGTGATTTTGGGAATCAAATAATAATCTTAATAATAATAATGTGGTAAATGTTTTGAGAGATGGATGTGCATCATTAAACTTTTTTAACATTTCATTCTTGTCAGTTTTCACATCAAGAATAATGAACGTATCATGAACATAACGAAAATAAGAATCAGTTTTCTCTATTACTTGTCTCAATGGACCATTTTCAATCTTGGCTAGAAAGAAATCTGCCAAAATTGGCCCCAATGGAGAACCCATGGCAATACCATCGATTTGCCTGTAGTAAAGGCTGTTGAATATGAAATGTACATTCATAGTACATCTTAAAAGCAACTCTTTCAGACTAATAACTAGAATTCCGATGTCAATCTGCTTTTCTAGTGTCTGTTGGCATATCAATTCCACAGTTTCCATAAGTGGTACTTTGGTAAACAGTGACGCTACATCTAAGGATAGCAGCATTTTCTTCCCATTTACATTGATATCATTCACGTTAGCAATAAATTCAAAAACGTCTTTAACACTATGGTTTACTACCAACTTGTGTAGCGGTTGGAGGAGTTCACCTAACCACTTTACCACTCCATGGTAGGTTAAGATTTTATATATAAATCTATGTAAATTAGAGTAAAGCCTGAAGAAGATCTAATTGAAAACAATATTGTTCGCTTATATGTCTTGTTCTAATATTATAAATGGGAATATTTAAAGACTTTTTCTATTCACTCTTGTCTGTATTACATTTTATTTTATTTTTTTTTCAATATTTCCAGCCTACAAATTAAAAGAAAAGCCAATAGTATGAAAGAAGAGATGTATAGAAAACAAAATATTTCCCCATTTTGGATTAATAATACTAATCATATTGTACAGTCATATTCCACTATAATTGCCTCTTCCCATCCAACTACAAATTGTCGTCCTTCACCATTTCGGCATTTTGATTCCTCACAAAGTGATCTATTTGATCCAATCTATTCAGTGATTCAATATCCTTTGAATGCTGGAGGAACACTTCAGTCAACGCATTCATTATCACCATCATCAGTGTGTAATTATTCTGAAGGATCAGTCAACGGTCAACGGCAATTCATAGAACCGCATCGTCTATTGGCGAAAGATATATGGACAAGTCAGGTAATAATAAGTGTTTTTGAATAAGGCGAAATGATGATTAACGGTTTCGTTTTAGCTGAAGACTCTTCAGTCCTCCTCACTCATGACTAATATAATATGGCATGTAAAGTTATAGGCTCAGTAATTATGCGTAGATTAAGTGGTGCTCGAGAGGAAAACATGAGAGAACAAGGCTAGGAAGAGGGTGTATTGATCATATCTTCACTTTTCGACAGATTCTGGAACATAGGCATACTTGCTGGTGTCCAACAATTGCTATATTTTTCGACCTAAAAGTGGCATTCGATTCCATTGACCGAGAGGTACTACGGCGATGTTTGGCTGTGAAGAGAATGCCGAGGGAATACATCACACTGATCAGGGCTCGAACTCATGGAGCCATGTAAGAGCCTATGGAGAATTGTCATCTGAAGTGATGACAACCATTGTCGTCCATCAGATAAGGATGCCCACTGTCCTCATCTCTGTTTAATTTCATCATAGATGTACTAATGAGCTTAACTCTAACTGACGTCAGAGGCCCAGGGATCAACTGTTAACCAGGGAATAGTCTTATCGACTTAGAATAAGCGGATGATCTAGTTCTCCTAGGTGAAGACGCTGACAAAATGCAGAGTCTTCTGAATATCTTGAGCTGCAATCTTCGAGTGTTTGGCATGCGATTTGTTCCTAAAAAGTGTAAGATGATGCCACAGGACTGGACTGAACTACATGAACTCCTAGCTTAAGAATAAGCAGGAGGGAAGTGGTTGGTGCAACGTATTGACCACTTATTTCACTTATTTGAGGAGTTGCATAAGCCCAAAAGGGGTTGATCGCTGACGAAGTCTCTGGACGAATACAGTAGACTCGTTTGGGACTTGCCAACTTATGCAATCTCTGGCTTACTAGACGTGATATCCGGTGGGCTATCGATAAAGAATGCGCGTACTTCACAGCACTAGTTCTCTGCATTTTCCTTGATGGATGTGACAAGACATGGTGGCTGTTGAAAGTGGAATATTAGAAATTACTAGTGAAGTGTCTTTGATGGTAGGTATCTCCGTTCTATCTCCCGTGTTAGGAGGTGGTATAATATGGTGAGTAATATTGAGGTTAGGCGTCGAATGCTAGGTGAGGAGGGAAAACTGATCGACGGGGTTGTGAAGTTAAATCGGTTGAGATGGTTAGGACATGGGTTAGGCATGCATCCCTAGCCATCACGATCCTCGATAATGGGCAATGTTAGCTGACATAGGATGGATCAGGTTGGAAAGGAATTAGCGCTGGTCAGTTCAGAAAATGGCTTCGTCAGCCAATGAAATCCATAAAAATTAGTTTATGTCAGCCGGCCAGCAACGTGGGGAGGTGTAGACTGCTAGGCTGGTTGGGGTCCTTAGGATGGTAAGTACAAATGATGGTTGGAGACAATTGGTGATATGGCTCAAAATCCTCGGTTTCAATGAATAGCTCAGATGCATTCACTGTTTGTGATGATTTGTCAAAAAACTCTGTTGTTTTTCCATCATATTATTATCCTTTTTCCCTCACTCACACTCCTGTTTATTATCTCTCTTCACTCTCATTTGTCTTCCTTTGTGTGCTACACGAAGGGAGAGTGGCAACTGGAACTGGTACACATCTGTGCAATGCCATATGTTGAAACCAGTCAGTCAGTAACCCATGACGTAACCAGAGATAGAACCGACCACCTTCAAAATAAAAGGCCAACCCGATGAATAATCAGTCATTGATTTGGAATTCAGTAGTCTATGAATTCTAACTCCTGTCGATTTGCAATTTAGCGGCACCACCAACTGATTCATCCATAAATACCAGCTTTACGCTGACATGGTGGATATCACACACAACCATTTCACACTAGAATTACACGACTTCCATGGAGTAGCTTATAATGACCTGGAGACTAATATTATAATTTTTGCTTCGCATGGATCAGGAATAATTTCAATGTAAGCTTCACCCGAAACCAGTACTCGTTAAGGAATCACTGGACGTCAAGGAGCCTCAGATAGCTGTCAGCGAATTATAATACAGTGGCTGGATAGTCTACGGGCTGGTAAGGCAACCTGAAGGTCTTGAGTTAGGTCACTGTCGAGGTCTTGAGTATACACTTCTGAAGATTTGGAAACTATAACTAAATAGCTGCCTAGTACTCCTGGCTTTCAAGAAAATCGCTAAATGATGTTTTCTAGTGGCGAAATCTGTATATCCCGCTAAAACGCAAAATATGAAAGTTTTAAAAGCTTCGTCTAAATGATACACCTGAAAGATAGGTGAATGAAGTACTTATGCCTGATAATAGTATATGAAATAAACTATTAGTAATTCTACTAATTGTGCGTCGGTGGCATAGCGGTTAGGACGATCGCCCACCATGTACATGGTCTGGGGTTCGATTTCCGGCCGACGCACTCCTTTACCTCGCTAAGCCAGAAGTAATGCTGGTGAAGAGAAAAGGTTGGGCATGAGGCTAGCAACCACATCCTGTAAAATAAACACTGCTACAGAAACTTCAAGCCTGTACCTTGAAGCCCTTTGTTCCACTGGGGAAAGTGAAGGAAATAAAAAAAATTCTACTAATTGGTGATTAAAAACGAAAGGGTAAACCACTGAGTCATTAGTACTGTCGTTAGACTGTTTAAGATAAATCTGGATTTCTTTAATATTTAATTCAATATGTTTCATCATTGCTGTATAGTCTTATGAATGTCCACTCTAGTTAATATATGTTTTATGGCATGTAAGATACTACTGGTTTTGGAATCTAGTATATTACAAAATTACTCACTTGAAACAAATCAGATTCATACTAACAAACTCATGAAAGTTATTCCGATGTTCGCTAGTGACTGGCTACAGGACGAAGTTGCCTCGAATTCCAGTGAGAAGTCGTAACCGGCACACTCCACCAGGTCGAATGTGAAGATAAATACTCGACAAAGAGATGACATTGACTGCCTCTAGTCGTGCTAAAATCACGAATCGGTAGAAGTTAGAATTCATGGGCTGGCCGCTGAGTTTAGTTCTAGTGGCTGATTGGTACACGAGCTTTCCTTGTGACCGGAAGGTCCTGCGTTCGAAACCAGGTTGGTGCGTACTTCTGACGGGTCTAAGACCAAGACGAAGCAGCCAGCTGTGCAATACTGCCTCATTGTTGGCAGTTCTCTAACTGATATCACTCCGTGACCAAACTTGGAACAAATTGAATCCATACAAACAAATTCATGAGAATTAAGTTCCACTAAACACTTTAATATTACACTGGCGATTTTTTCAGTCAATTCCAATATGCCTATAGGTAACTACAAAGAGCTATTGATGAATGGTGATTAGTCACTTACACCACTGACATACCATCGTGATAAAACCCAGAAGTTGAATATTCTACTTCAAATCCAAGCAAATTAACTAATTCGCATGCTTAAAACGTTATCGACTTCCATCCAGGAGATCAATGTCTCCAAAGTGTACGCATTACCAACCATTAAAAGTCTAATGGCACATAGTTTCTTCGATTTAATTAGTACAATATATGACTATCATTTAAAGCTATTTAAGTGGGCTGAACTTCAAATTCGAACTACTTTCACGCAATACCTCTTGACTTAAGTGTTACATGTTAATACTGATGAGCTTTGAGTGGCATATACTACTCATTACTATGAGTAGTTGGATGCCATTCACACCCACTTGTACTGCTTACTAGACAGATAGTAGTGAATACGACAATGGATCACCGGTTCGCTCATTTGATGCCTAACTTATTAGATCCATTTTAAAACTGATTCAGGTCAAACAGCCAAATTCTGACTAGCTACTTAGGGGAAACGAAAGGACATATAATCAGAATGAGAACTAGCAGATCTCACAATATCAGGTGGATTTTTGAATTTCTAGGGCAAACTGTGGTAAAGTTTCACCTGGGATTTTGTTGTTCACAAGCTGCGAATTCGAAAGGTGAGAAATATCATTCAGAGGTATTCAGGTTTAAAGAGATATTTATTAATATACATGGTCAGAAAGGAAATAATTCCAGTGTTAGTAGTGAGCAGTGTGTTAAAATAATTTACTATATAGTCAGTCACTGAACCTATCAGTATGACAATGTTATGCGCTATGTTAGTACTGTACTTTAACACTTGTGGACAGGAGGTATGTACTTTGCTTGTTATATGCCTCCTAGCACTTATAACTGAAGCACATTAGCTAACTTGATATAATCCATGTAACTCTAGTGAAGAATCAAAGTATAGGAAATCTTTGATGTTCTCTGAGTTTCGGTATTTGATCTTCATGTTTCGTCATCAGAAATGATGATATCATCTTCAGCACTAACGTAATTAAGAAGCGATATGTATCTTCAATTCGTATGAATGTCTAAGTTCCCTTATTCTTCTCTTTGTCCGATTGTACATAAGCGAAGTGATCTTTATTCATTTCGCAGTCTTACAACCTTGCATTTAATTGGAAACATTTATTTCCCGATAGGAATTTAAAACAAGCAACAAGGCAGGTTAATAAAGCAGGTTTTAATGAATTCATCAAATTTCGGTAGAGCTCGTCAGCTGAATACTCTACATACATGGATATATATACTTTTGAAATTACATTGGGAAATTTAGGACTGATAAGTAAACAAACTACACTGAATTAGTCATGCAGAAAGACACGTGCGAATGTTTTTCAGGTCATGTTCAATTAGATAAGGGGAGAAAGAGTATGAGAGATCAAACTTAAGATAAATTACATTACGCTTCAATTACATCACTTAGATAAACAATTAGTCATTAGAGAATATATCAAGAGTTGCAACCAGAGTAATATCAATAGTAATAGTTATAATAATAATAGTGTTGAAGTGAGTTAAGATAATCCTACTGATAAAGGATAGTTTTAAATGAATCAAGAATACCATAATAAGAAGAAAATTTTCTTTTCAACGAAGTCATCATCTAGGCTGTACATTCGTGTATTTATATCAAATGGATGGGAAAGTTCCAAAATAATTTCTGGTTAGGTTT